ACGTGGACCCAGTTGTACGCTGTAATCAAATGTACCAGCTTCAGCTCGCCAACGTATTTCAGCACAGCCCGATCCGTAGGTGTGCCAGAGGTCGAGTGGAAAGCGGCCAGTGTCAACCCCTCTCCAGGCCGACCTCCAATTTACACAAAATGCACTCTGCGGAGGCTGGGACCGAGAGATGTGCTGGGTCGTCAGGGGTGCACGGATAAACAGCCCTGTTCATTTTGACCAATACATAACCGAAATATTCCCGTTTTTCATAATTCGTTTGTAGCAATCAAAAACTGTAAATCATCGCAAGCGTATTGCTTTGCCTCTTTAGAGTAATAACTTGACTAAGCTCGGAGCCGAACATTTTCAAGTCATGATAATTGAAGATAAGCGCACGAATGCTACCTCTGTGAGGCTTTGTCGCTCTCGTCCCAACAATCTCATGGATACCTGGCCTCGATATCTTAGTTTTGACATAATCTGCGAAACGACCGACTGCTTTCATTTACGTCATTTCCTCGCTCACCCGACGCCGAAACAGGTGTGTTGCCTGTTAGGCTATACCTATGCGTCTCGGTCGTGGCCAATATACAATACAAATATTTTAGTTTTCCACAACACATGTTTACATCTATTTTGGCTATTCCGAACGAAGCGGTGAATTAGGAAAGCAGGGCGGATGCGTCAGATCCTGTCCTGTGTTCTGGCTGTTCACCGCCTCGTAGCCTTGGACTATTTGGGTCCACATGAGCGACCCTTGACCTCAGAGGCGGCCGGGGAGCACCACGACCAGCAGGGATCCGGGACAACTAAGAGCTGAAGAATCACCGTGAACTACGTAAGTTGTTCAGGATATTCGCGAGAACATTACTCACATGGATAAGACAGAAGTAATAGCCTGTAAATAACCGGAGAAAAACCAGGAGAATGGATAGATAGATTGGTTGATGCTTCACCAGCATGCCCTTATCGAAACAATTGCAGAAAGCTTTGGAGTGCCCAGTTCTGCGGACGGGGCCCCTGAATACGACCTCCGGCCGGCCTCTCGGCTGCTCTTCTGCTATTGTTCCGATAAAGACATGCTGCCGAAGTATCAACCAATCTATTTCTCCATTCTCATGGTTTTTCTCCGAAGAATAAGGCTATTACTACTCTCTTATCTATGATCACCATGAACATCTTTACGCCCGAAACTAGATGCCGTTCAGGTCCTTTTAATGGCCCGAAACGGCAAAAAGGTGGCTACACGGGAAAGAATAGAGACCCATATCATGCCTCGCATGTTGTTAAGCAATGATGTTGTCATCTACAACGCAACATCGTGGTTAATGCTTTCAAATGCATGTCCGATACGTTAATAATTTCAAGATCTAACATGTGCTTATTTCTTAAGTTTGCGTGCCATTTGGAATGACATTTCGTTGTTTTCAAGAGCGCTCTAGCTGTCAAATTCAACTACGAATATGCCAAAACTCAATTGAACCACAAACTGGCCGGAGGTCCGCAAGTTATCTAGGAGCCGCGACGGTCAAAAGCCTCCAAAGGGTAAAAGAAAACGGAAGACCTGAGGCGCCCGAGGAGTTCTGAGGCGGTCAAGCCAGAGGCCACCGCGATGAACAGCTGATTGGCTTGGATCCAAGGCGCCCCGAACAGCTGAGAGGCGTGGAGACCGAGCTGGTCAAGTGACACACATATCGGTCAAGAAACTGAGCCAGGGCCACTGACGAGCGAACGTCCATTAAACCCTAATGACTCGAACGGGGACCCGAAGCGAGCGTGGACCGCCCGGATAATTGAGGTGCCTCCAGATGTCTGAAGGCGCCCGGGACGATGAAAGGCCCCGCAGTACCTGAATCGGCCTTCAACATTTGTGGTCACGCAGTCGTCAAGGCCTTCGACGGGCTCTAAGCCTCCGAAGTGGCCGTACAGTCGGAGAGGTCTGGCAGGTCTCCTCCGGACCGAGAAGGGGTGAACAAGTGGTCGGGCGGGCCTGAAATGATCGCGGCCCACCAGGACAGTCGGCGATCAATAGATGGTCAATGTGACCGACGTATGGATTCAGGACAGATGGGCTGGTTGGGCCCTGTGCCACCCTCACTTTGTGGAAGTGGGTCATCGGTCCTTTGTTGTATAAAGAAAGGGGCGATATTGACAGAGGTTTTCTGCTTCATCCGGGACGTTTAACATCTATGCATGTGGCTCTCGGGTTGATCCAGAGCCCCTAACTGCGCCAAGGGCCCTTGATACACAAGAGATCCGGAGGCAGAATATACATGCCCGGGGAAAACCAGAGATTGCGAGAATATCAGACGGCCTAAGCCAGTCCAGTATGTCCTTGATTACCTAGAGCATTCCTAAGAAGATAGGCGGCCAGGCACCATCTGAGTGGACAGGTTGTATATGCTTTCGATTTATTCATCGCAATATGCGTGGAATTTTTCATCAAGGGCTCATTCATATGCAGAGCCAAAAGCTGCAATTACTTTGATGAAATCGCTGACAGCACTATATTCAAACGTGTTTAGCTTCGTTACACAGTCATTCACAGCGGTTAATGAATAAAAATAAACTTTTAATCAGCTTGCTTCGTCTCCGAAGTTAGTTAAACTGTGCCACTGTATCTTTGAAGCCGGTGTGGCAACTGCCACGTCTGCCATGCCACATCTTCCCCCCCCCCCCCGCCCCCCTGCACTCACCACCCAATCAGCAATAACAGGCGTCGTCCGATTGTCCGGCGGAAATGGCAGTGCGGATGAGATTGTCAGGCGTGCGTGCTGAGGCATAGGAAACTTGATTACTGTGCCAGTATAGCAGCACCACACACGTCAACACGCCCTGTGTCTGGCCGCCGCGTCGCCAGTCCTGCACCGTGTGACGGGCCCCGAGGCGGCGGGTCACCCGGGCTCTCTCGGACCGAGGCGGACAGCCTGGGGCCAGTGTGAGGCAGAGGTCGGCATGAGGCTGCAAGGTATGACGCAGCGATGTAGTGACTTGCCTGGCACGTTAGCGAGGAGTTCGTGGTGAAGTCTGGTAAGATGCGTAATATCCCGATGAATTGACGTGTGTAGACGACAGATTGAGCCTGTTCAGGCCGTTGTCTGCACCCGGTGTGTAGCAATCTGCATTTCACAGAACATATGCCTAACGATTTGTTAATGTATGAATTTTCAAAGCGTAGCGAACTGCTGCCTTTCAAGCAGCACCTGGAATGAAACACGAAGGAGAGACGGGCGGATCCTGCTTCACAGTATACATACTGGACTGGAAGCTCCCCTCGGCCGCAGTCCCCGTCGACCCTTCGCCCTGACCCGGCGTCGTCGCCCCGGACCAAGCAACAGTGACCTGACACCCACCTCGAGCGGCCGCCACCAGCGCCAGCAGCAGAGCGCAGAGTCTCGCGGGCCGCATCTTCACGCGGTGGGCGCCGCACGCACTGGCGGCCGGCCGGAGGAGACGAGTCGCCCCGGCCGCGACCTTCCCGGCGGCGCCAGAGGCCGGGCCTCGGGGCCGCGCCGCATAAACAGCGGCCACGCGACGCACGCCGTCCGCAGACGCACTCATCTGGGTCAGCGGCGTCGGGTCCGGGGGCAGCCGGGCCTGGTCCGGGTGGTCAGCGACGCCGCGTGACCGGCGCCGACGGTGTGGGGGTCGCGCTCGGACGGACGGGGTCTGAGGAGGAGGCGGAGGCGGACCGAGGTCAGGGTCAGCGTAGGAGTAAGCAGGTGACGGGGTGTCGTGTCCGGAGTAGACGATAGCCTCCGAGTGGACATGCATAGTTGGACACCTAGGGCGAACCCAGAGCCCCAAGACGGCCAAGGTTGGAACAAAATAACAAACGTCTGAACTTAATAAAAATGTAAGCACGTGTTACAACACCCCTTGAGGTAAACAGAAAAGAAATACGATGCTTTCTGAAACTTCAGGCCATCTTTTGGGATTTTAACCCTCCCAAGGCAACCAACGTATTCCCCTCCCCCGGCAGCGTTTTAGATACGCCCTTGATGCTGGCTGCTTGCGAATGACAGCGATGAAGCCTAAGATTAGCGATCATGGTCCAAAGACATCACTATACCCGCCAGCTTACGTTCCACGCTGAATTCACGCCCCAGCATGCAGATTGCATATGCACACGTGTTTGTTGGCACGCATTCTCATAACGAGGCCAAAAAGAGATAGATAGCTTTTAACCGCCCCATACGAGAAAAAGCGAGCTTGCATCTTACATGTCGAGGCCCGTTCCCAACGTATATCGCTGCGGCCCGAGTGATGATGAACTGCGCCTATGAACTGGTTTTGCCGTGTACTCCTGTTCGCTTTCAATTATATAGCATAAAACGCACCCCGTCTTTGCATCGGTAGATATGCCTAAAAAGTTAAACAAGGTCCGATAAACGCTGGGGCAGCGTCTCGGGGCAGCAGCATTATGTCACACGAATCCTCGTTCGTGTCGTCACCAGTACATTGGCACCTGCGTTGTGCAGATATTTGTGAAACATAAAGCACCTGGAAAGTAGTTTGCTAGGTGATCAATCCATTTCAGATGATTCTGCTAAGAATTACTTCACCACTCCCATTCATCTTCAGAAGTACCAGAAGTTCCGAAGGCCAAGTTTTCCGCATCGTTCCTCACAGTAGCTTTATTTTCCTTGCCTGCATCGCCAGCGCCACCAACTTACGTGCCAGCGCTGCGCAATTTCGGTGGCGCCCGCGACCCTTTTATCGCGTTTTTTTATTTGCTGGCGAGACATACATCCCTAGACAGACGCACCACACGCACGTCATTGGCTTTTGCGGCTTTCAAAGTTAGTCTCATTCTTCGACATTAATTGAAGAATACAAGTTGTGTTCAGAATAAAGATCAGCCCGCGCGGTGCGAGGCAGCAGGGAAATGAGAATGAGAAAAGAGAGAAGGGTACAGTTATTAAGTACTTCCCTGCGGTATGTGGTATGCACATAGAGTGCAAAATCCTGAGCGGTAACCCAGCTGCAACAGTGCACATTTCAAAGGACACGGCTCAAAAATATATTCAAAAGCTGCACAGACACATACACACCCTGTAACACCCAAAACACGTGATGTTTATGCGGAGATTGCGGGGCTGACGAGACTGCAGCCAACGTTCGGGAGATTCGGGCCTCACGACATGATCTGTCCTGCAGAGGTGGGCCTAACGAGACTGCAGCCAACGTTCGGGAGATTCGGGCCTCACGACATGATCTGTCCTGCGGAGGTAGGCCTAACGATGGGCCTAACGAGACTGCAGCCAGCGCTCGGGAGATTCGGGCCTCATAACGCGAACTGTTCAGCGGAGGCGGGCCTAAGGAGATTCACTGGTCAGAGTTCACCTCACATCACAGGCCATACGTGATACGGCGGGTGATCCCCACTCCATAAACGCATGTCCACCTGTTTGTCCACACGGACGTTGTTTCACGGAGGTCGGGTGCACATCTGCCAACGCATGTTTCTTGCCGAATGCGAATGTGGCATAGTTTTCAACAGCTATCGCCGCTCCACACACGCCATGTTGTTTCCTCCCTCTTATGACGTCACCGGTTTCAACACTCGTCAAAAACAGCTCATGAAAACGGGTGAACGGACCGTAACGCGTTCGTTAAGGCAGCTATATTGCGCAGTGGGTAGCGTCCACTAGATATGGAGCCGTTAAAGCCTTACATTATGCACAGTTAGGTAGATATAATTCGATGTAGAATTCTCACAGATTGCCACTCCACCGACGCTCAGCTGATCCTATGGCACAACATGCCTCGATAAACTATGCGCACATGCCGCCCGTAAGCGCACCACACAACTGTCGCACTGAACAAATAAAAGCAGCGTAAACATATCAAAACGTAAACAAAACGCGCCACTCAGAACAAACAGCCACACCGCAAATGCTACCAACGGTCGACTAGGCATCGCCTCCGAGCGCCAAGGTAAATAAAACGAGCGAACTGCACACCTCAGCCCAACTCCGCACTGGCAGTCTAGTCAGCGCACTGGGCTGTCTCTGCGACGGCCCGGGACCGTCCGCCGGGCAGGACAGTGCGAGCGCCCCATAGCCGCACCCACGGAGGCCGGGCGCCGTGAGTCTGCCGCCGGTCTCAGGAGCGTCACAGCACAGAGGCACTGCGTCTGGTCACAGGGACCTGCCGGCACCACGTCCCCGACCGCGGGAGCGTGAAGGCACCGCAGCGCCGCCACTGATGACCGCTGGCAGCTCCGGCCGTTACTGACGCCGACACAGTGGGCTCCGCCCTGGTCTTCCCGTCTGCTGTGCGCGGGCCGGGCCTCCTTCGGTGAGAAGACCAGATCAGGTCCGTCCGATCCAGGTCAGGTCAGGTCAGGCCAGGCACGGTCAGTTGTGCAGCACGTCCGGCCCGGCCACGCCCATGAACAGGCCGTTGACCTGCGTGAAGATCTCGGCGAAGTGCGGCCGGTTCTCCGGCTGGTACTCCCAGCAGCGCAGCATCAGCTTGTACATGGCGTCCGGAGTGCCATCTGGCGCCGGCATCCGGTACCCTGAGTGCAGGCACACGACACGCGTCACAGCGGTGCCACGGGAGCTCAGCGGTTTGTGCTGCCAACGGCTTTATTCCTAAATATCTATGTAGATAAGTCATACGCCTTGCCTTGTCGGAGTGACACTTGAATGTTTTAATATGAATTACCTGAGTCGATCATCTCGCGCGCCTTGGTGTTGGAGAGCCCGCTGTAGGGCGACTGGCCGCGACTGAAGATCTCCCAGCTGAGTATGCCGTAGCTCCACACGTCGCAGAGCGAGGTGTACTTGCCTGCCGGAGACCAAACATGGCGCGTGACTAAACGAGGTCACGATCCACCGCTGTAGCCGGCACAACTCAGCAAACAGAGGCAAACAGTCGCCACATCTCGGCGTGTGTACCTGACATGGTCACAAACTGTGGAAACCCGCAAACTGGTGCACAGGAAGGACCTGTGAAACATTTCTAGAATGATTCGGATGTAATATGGACATCAGCTTTGTGAGTCCGCCAGCCGCCATCTGAATGTTAAGTGTGCGCAACACAGCGCCCACTGCACACATTAGCATACAACTGAGCAGCCGCACCTAGCAGGACTCATCCGACCACGCGACATTCCAGCCGCGAGTGCCCGCAGAACGGAGGCGAGGCGCCTCGCCTCGCACCGACTCTTACCGTAGTTGAGCGCCTCCGGGGCGGTCCACTTGATGGGGATCTGCTTCATGCCGTCCGAGACGATGTACTCCTCCTCCTCGCGGGACATGCCGAAGTCGGATATCTTCACCATGTTGTGCATGCCTGCCGGCACGAGGCGGCGCTGTCTGGGTCCGCTCGGGCGATCTGAACGGAACGAGGCCTTGCACCACTGGACGAGGACGCGCACCGCGGGACGAGGACTCGCACCACTGGACGAGGGCGCGCACCGCGGGACGAGGACTAGCACCAAGGGACGAGGATCCGCACCACGGGGGCGGGTACGAGACGGAGTCATGACGTCCCAGTGCATGGTCAGCGTGCGGCCCGCCCCGCAAGCCGAGGATATCATTCGCCCTGAACTCATGGCAGGCACCCTACGGATCTAACTGCCAGTGAGGCGACGGCTAACCTAACATCTCAACCCTATCCACGAGTCGCTCAGCTCGGCTGCAGAGAGATGACGTCTTCCCCAGCCAGCCACGCAACGAAAATTCTTGTCGGGCTTTGTTCGCTGTTTACAGAGCACAGGTAGCATGACCGCGTGCGATACCCCCGGGGACTTTAAGCACATCTATACAATCCTGTTCATGTATTCCTGTCCATAGCGCGTACCGCCAGCCTCACTGGCCAGATGCCAACAGTCCGGAGTGTCCCCTCGTCCCGCCGCTGTCGCCCCCGCTGCCCTGCATCGCCGACTCTGACCCGCGACCCGGCGGCACTCACCGACGAGGCAGTTCCTGGCGGCCAGGTCGCGGTGGATGCAGTTCTTTCCCTCGAGGTAGGCCATGCCGGCTGCCGTGTCCCTGCACATGGCCAACTGCGCGCCCACGTCCAGCGCGCTCCCCAGCTGCTTACTCCGCAGGTAGCTGAGCAGCGAGCCGCCTGCGGAGACGCGGTGTCACGCGTCACACGGCCGTCGGCGCCGCCCGGCGTCACGCGTCACACGACCGTCGGCGCCGCCCGGCGTCACACGTCACACGGCCGTCGGCGCCGCCCGGCGTCACGGGTCACACGGTCGTCCGCACCGCCCGGCGTCACGCGTCACACGGTCGTCAGCGCCGCCCAGCATCACACATCACACGGCCGTCGGTGCCGCCCGACGTCACGCGTCACACGGTCGTCAGCGCCGCCCAGCATCACACGTCACACGGTCGTCCGCACCGCCCGGCGTCATGCATCATACGGCCGCCAGCGCCGCCCGGCGTCACGCGTCACACGGTCGTCGGCACCGGTCGTGCACCGGCGGAGCACGCGGCGGTGCACGGCGGCTCGTCACGGATGCGCCGGCCGGCACCGCTCCCCATCACAGGCCGCCGTGACGCGGCGGAGCACCGCGCGTCACGCGGCCGGCGGCGGAGAGCGCCGTCACGGCCCGTCAACAGAGCCGCCGACACCGCAATCTGTCAACCGTCAACGTCAACCGTCACGGCAACCGTCACGGCAACCATCATGGCAAACCCCCACCTTCCGCAGGCGTCGCTCATCGGAGCGCATCGCCGCCGGTCCGTCAGCATGTCCCTCTCCGCGCACGCGCGACGTCCCTCGCATCGGCGACTGCGGCCAGGCGTCAGCTTCGCAGCGTCACTCACCCGGCACCAGCTCCATGACGATCATGATGGGCTGCTTCTGCACTGCGATGCCGATGAAGCGCACGATGTTGGGGTGGTCGTACTGCTTGAGGATGCGGCCCTCCTGCAGGAACTTGCGCTTCTGCTCGTCGGGCAGCGTCACCTTGCACGTCTTGACGGCCACCAGCTCGCTGGTCAGGTGCAGTCGCGCCTTGTACACGTCGCCGAAGTTACCCTGGCGGTCGGCGGAGCGCGCGGTGGGGTTAGAGCGCGCTGACGCTCCAGCCATAGGCGCCTCGGATATTTGGTGGGATGGACCAGGCAAGTGCATTTTCTCCTGTTAAATGGGCGGGGCTAGTCTAAAGTAACTTTGGGAGGACGCGTTGAATCATGGTCTGAATCTACTTATCATTCGGATAGTTCAACCCAATCATAGGCATTTAGGCAAATGTCACGAAAAAAAATGTTGGCGACCTTAATGGTAGCCCAGGCCCTCGGGCCGGTGTCCCAGATATCGTAGCAATGCATTGTAGCGCGCTTCAAGATATCTTGTCACTTAATTGACACCATCAAAATACAGCACTTTCTCTTCCGGACACAGAATAGCATGCACAAAATACAAGCTATCGTCTGAAAACAGCTAATTGATACGACTAAGACAATGACAAAAGCAACACGCAGCAACACGCACGAGGTCGCACAAGCCGAGACAGACCACATCGGCAGGAGCCGCGATCCGTAACAACCCCCCGTGTAGCCGGCACTTGGCCGCTGCGCCGGGCCAGCCAGGCCAGCCGACAGCACCTCACCCGTCCGATCTTGTCGATGAGCTCGACGTCGTCGTTGTTGAGCTCCCAGCGCTCGCGCAGTATGGCCTGCCGCAGCACGGCGCCCGACTTGTTGGTCACGGCCAGGCCGCACTCGTGCTGGTACGCGATCAGCTCCTGGATGCTGGGGAACGACGGCCCCTCGAACCGGAACTGGCCCTGCGACGGCGGTCCAAGGGCGGTGAGGGGCGGGCGCAGCGACGGCGGAGGTCCCGCCGGGGGGGGGGGGGGGAGGGAAGGGCGCATCGACGGCGGAGGCCCCACACTCCACCAGCAAACGGGGGGGGGGGGGGGAGGACAGAGCGGACAGCAGACAGGTCTAGTGGTGGTACTGTACTGTAATTTAGGTGTCAAACCACACTTAGGATGCTTACTTGGCAGCTGTTAATCTTAAGCACATAATTTTCTTTTTGAGTATGTGGTCTACATGGTGCATTAATCAATGCCGAAATGCAATCAAAATTTCAACCGACACCAGCAACGCTGTTCAACACCACTGAATCTCCTACTTCACCTTCGTTGACCCCCCATTCAGTTCCACGCTAAACAAAATACCCGAAAACATTTCAAACACATCAGCTAAGTGGCACATGCATTACACCACCTAGGGCTGCAGGCTGCACTTCTTACGAAGGCGCTGCCATTCCTAACCTGACCCCCTTCCCACCAGCAATCATAACTGCGGCCAGCCACGGTCCGGCGACGCCGCGGGCCGCGTGGCGGCGTGGCTCACATTATCACACCCCAGAGGGTTGCAGACCGCACTCCTGGCGACGGCACCACAGTTCCTAACCTGACACCATTCCCACGAGCGATCCCAAACTCGGGCCAGACACGCCCCGGCAACGCCGCGGGCCGCGATGCGGCACGTCTCACTCACGTCCGAGGTGGTTTGCACGATGAAATGTTTGTGGCCGCCCCAGGCCACCGAGAGCACCACCTGGGTCTCCTCGTTGCGCGTGGTCTGGCGCACCAGGTAGTCGCCGTCGTTGACCAGCAGGCGGACCACCTCCTCGCGGGGCAACACGCCGTGGAACCAGTCCTCGTCCACCAGCGGGCGGTCCGGCTGCGGCGACATCTGCCGGAGGAACGGAAAACCTGTAGTATGGAGATAGACGACAGACAGCAACAGCTAAAGCGTCGATACTTACCACAAGAATCATCTGCAATGACTACATGTGCAGAGAGCATCGAGAAAACGACATTATTACCATGTGTGACAAAATATAAAACTAGAGCTGACACCAGCATTGAGCACGACCTTACACACACTGTGTAAACAGCATAGAGCAAAAAAGACCGTTTTGTTTGTACGTAGCCTAATGAATCACCTCGGCCTTAGGGCGCTGCGACATGTTCTGAGAGTATATCACAGCGGTTGCATACGCAACCGAAGTAAGTGAGGGGGAAAGTCGCGAACAAAAGTCGTGAAGAAGGAGGATCAGCAAACACGCTCAAGCCAGAAAGCAACCAACAGACGGCCACAATGAGCAAGCGCACGGCATATCTCACCAGAAGCTGGATCGACACACGACCGAGCTTGGCGATGCGCCGTCGCTGCAGGCCCCGCTCGCCAGGAAGCGGGTCGCTGACCAACGGCATGGTGCCTAAACTGGGGTAAAGCCCCCATCGCCTGGCGCCCTTGTCAGAACAGCCGGGAACACCAGCTCCGCATGTCCCGCCTAAGGTCGTTAACCGTCTCGCCTAAGGAAGTTAGATTTCCCGCCTAAGGCCGTTAATGTTCCGCCTATGGCCGTTAGTCCCCGCCCGGGGTGCCATCCGAACACGGGGCGTCCTCTGACTGTGGGGTCCTCAGCCATGCTTCCCCTGCCCGCGCGCTCCGCCCTGACCGCCGCCGACTCACCGTCTGGTAGCCCTCGCTGGCCTGACTAACGGCCACGCTGACCTCCGAGGAGGCCGGCGCCGGCGCCCGGCTCGACTCCGCCTCCTCCGCCTCCAGGCTGGTCAGGCTGTCGTTCAGCGGGTCGCCGGCGGGCGCCGCGCCCGGCGGCCCCGCCCCGGTCGGGCTCGGCGTCGGCGACGGCCGCTTGTGGAACGGCTTGCGGATGATGTTGACGATCCGGTGCGACTGGACAGGGTTAGCGACGAGCAGGCGCCCTGCGGTCGGGCGCGGCATGCGATCAGCGCGTGCCCCGGGCCGGCGCGCGGGCAGCAGCGCCGCAGCGACAGCTCCCAAACTGGCGCGTCGAAGCTCACGCCAGGTCATGCGCGGGGACACCGCAGACAAAACGGACGGCACGCCAAGCCCGGCCCTGGTGCTGCCTCGCGTGGAGCGTTGACAGGGCGACTACTGCTACAGAGACCGGCAGGCGCACACGCCAAGCGTCGCACACGGGACGGACGAGACTGAAGAGGGGTGGCGGCGGCAGGGAGAGGAGAAGCATGCTGACCTCGCCGAGCTCCTCCACCGCCTTGGGCGCCTCGCCGCCACCGAGCTCGTCCAGCGGCGTCCTGATCAGCTTGATGAGCTTTTGCAGCTTCTGCTCGGTGCACTGGGTCTCGCGGATGTCCTTTCGCAGGATCTCACTGGCTCGACGAATGACAAACAGCCTGACAAACAGGTGCACAGCTCAGATAGTCGCCTCGCCGGAACTGGCCGGACAGTTGAGAGCCGGAGGGTCCCCTCCGCGCACACAGCTCTGACATGCTGACTTTTTACAACGAGAACAGCTGCGAATGCTATAGCGAGATAAACAATCCAGTCAATCAGCATGCTAGCTAGTATACGTGATAAGAAAAGATAAGGCAGTAAAACGCAAAATAAAGCATCATTCACACCAAAAATAATGTACATTTCGCGGGCGCAGAAGCCAAAAGGGGGTGTAATCATGCTGATAAAAAAGTACGCGTAACAAAAAAGTCATATCATAATTATCACATGGCTACAAAACGTCATATTCCTTTTCCGTTCCCCACTCCTTCCGTACACACGCAAAAGGTTGCTTCGGAACACATGAGCGTTATCAGTCATAATTCACGGAAATTTCAGTTGCATGGGTCATCGGAATGAATGGAACTCGTTCTGTGGAAACAGAAAGCCATCACCCATTTCACATCGATGAAACATTTTGCTGGAACCAAAAAGTCCGAATTTGCCTTGAATAAAGCACCAAAACCACTGTCAAATAATAGGCAGGTGTTTTGAACTTCTGATGGAAGGTAACCAGCTGCCGGAGAGGGTGGTCTTGTCTGACCCACCGGTTGACGCTGTCCTGCTGTTTCTTCAGACTCTCGACCTCGGCGTCGTGCTGACTCAGCTGCTTCCTCTTCTCGGCCAGCACGTTCCGCACGTCCGCCAGTCGGCTCTCCAGATCGGCCAGTCGCATCCTGCGCCAGCCACCCAGTCAGAAGCTGAACATAATCACGACTGCCCGTCCGCCGCTCCGGTGTCCAGACAACGACTCCGACGGCTCTACAGGTGGTTTGAACGCATCCTGCGAAAGCCTGCCAGTAACTGAACATAACTTCGCCTCACATGCTAGCTCCGCCTCACTTACAGTACGGCAACTCGTCGACCGTGTCTAAGGACAGGCGCGTCGCATTTTGCGACACCCCGGCAGTAGTTGAACATAACCCATACTCTCATACACCGATCGTTATTCACCGCCGGCGCCAGTCCACGGCACGGTTCTACCAGTTAGCCAGTCGGATCCAACGACAACCCGCCAGTAGCCGATCATAACACAGCCTCAAGGATCGGTACGTTTGGAGCGCCCAGTCGGCAACAGGACCGACACCATCCCAAAGTTAGTGTACCAGAAGTTCTCAGTGGCGGCCAGCCGCATTTGCCCCTCCCAGTCAGTAGCCACACATAACCCCTCCAGCCAGTCAATGTTGGTATCCGGGGTCACCAACAGCTAAGCTCCGCTCTGTATATGCATTCCCGCGTCAATGACGGCAATCAATGAGGTAGCTTCATCTAGGGCTTCAGTTTTTGTTCAGGAAGTCTGCATCACTTGTGTGACTACTGGTTATCGTTTACGGCATGGAAATACGATGCATCTTTTATGGCATGGGAATACGGCGCACGTTGTGGCGAGCCCTTCTATGCAGTGTCAGCGGCCGCAGTGGCTATATTAGCTCCCAGAGACCCATGACGCAGTTGGGATCCGAACCCGGACCCCACAGATGGGAGCCGAGGGCAACAAGCAACAGCAGTAACTAAGCCCCCTCACGGGGTTTTGTGAAGACCTAGGTGATCCAAAGGATAGACGAAACGGGTGGTACTCTTCACCATTTTTCTATATATATATATATATATATATATATATATATATATATATATATATATATATATATATATATATATATATATATATATAATAGATGCCAGCAAGACAAGTTATGCTGCGTTGGAGCAGTGAGTTGGTTGACCATGCAGATGGTGTTAAAATCTCAGTCAATGTGGCCGGATATCATTGGAACCCGCAGCAATTAGTTCGATCGATGCACCGGAAATTTTTCCGGTCATGAGAGGTAAGCATTTGGAGCCTGTGTCATAAAGCGTTCGCACGAATCCTTCCAGTCCGTCCCTCCCTCCCCCCACCCCTTAACTTTGACATTAGTGGGCCGAATCCGGGGAGAAACTAGGTTGTGGGTGTAATTTGGGGAGTTTTTTCATGTTTCGTCTGTTCAGCTCAACCCATTTTGCAGTACTACGGCCCTGTCTTGGTCCGTGTCAGTGCTGGTGCCCCACACAAACTGCGCCGTCCTCGTCGCCACATCTCGCTGAGAACTGCACCGGGCACCTCTGGCAGCCTCTCCCCCGCCTGGCCAGGAGCACCAGGGCACCGAGCCGGCGTGACCTCGGCTGACCTCAGGTTTCCGATCGTCAGATCGTCGACGGCCAGCGCCTCGGGCTTCAGGCGGCCCGAGTACTCCTCCATCATCTGGTAGTCGAAGAGGAAGCTGACGGGCGGCGGCGGCTGAGATCTGGCGGCACACAGACGCCGGCTCGTCGTGAGGTGCGGGCATCGGATGTGACCGCCCGGACCGGTTGCGGACACGGCTTGCCCGGACCGCCCGGGCACGGGTTAGGGTGTTGCCGCCGTCCATCACCGATCGAGCGCCTGACCGACGCCGAAGCGGCCCCGAGACACCGCCGAACGCGCGGCTGACGGCCAGCTGGGAGGCCCTCGACCAGTCACACGCAGCCAGTGCTGGAAGCGCAGTCATCATCGCCAACGACACACGAACAAGACTGTCGCCGGCTATTTCCACGATGGCGGGCCGAACATCTATAAAAATGACAAGCGCGGACTGGACCACAACGGCACCACCCGTGACAGAGCCGACAGCATCACGTGGAGCACCGGCATCAGCATCACCAGAAAATAACAGTACACAGCACCCGCAGCAGCAACGCAGCGCCAGCAGTCGCACCAACACCAACGCTGCATCACCAGCACCATAAGCAGCAGGACACCTCCCGCGCGCGCCGCAGCAGATACCGCCCTTGCCCGCCCCCAGCAGCACCCGGGCGCTCACTTGTGGCGGTCGGTGAACTCGCGGTACTCGCCGTCCGTGGTGATGGCCGAGATGCTGCCATTGACGCGCTTCTGAATCTCCAGGTGCTTGTCCGTGCTGAAGCTGGTCAGTTCGGCCGCCGACCGCATGATGGCGCACCTGTCG